ACTCTGCAACCCAATTTTAGAATTTTAGACAGTGACCTTTCTTTCACTTTGATTCAGCCACAGACTAAAAATGGAAGTTGGTGCCCCACTTATTTTTCAAGTTATCATGCTCACAACATCCACGGATGGACAGACTGACAGAGGGCATTTGTAATCCCCCCACATAAAAACTAACAATAAGATGCAAACAATAAAGTCAACATACAATCAAATTTCACAATAAATACAACAACACAGAATAGAAACTATAACAAAGAAACATCTCAGTTCCAAAGACCCAACGGGCCTCCATCAAACTCAAATTAAAATCTGTTGTTGAACGTGAATTTTAAAGAGTGTATAGATTCTGCAGTGTGAGTATCAAGTGGCCATCGTTGAGCCTACTACTGCAAAGGCCCAAGTTCTTCTGCGCCAAGAGCATATGGCTGGATTACCTCAGTGCTGTTCTGGGGTTGTACAAGTTCTGTTAACTAAAGTAATTCATTAACTGCAGGTGATGAAGGGACAATTTCAAGGCTGAAATGTAGAGAGTTGCAGTTATACAATGCAGAGGTGATGAAAGCATAGATATGTTTTGATGTATTTTGGAGGAACGTAAGAAATACTAATTAGTAAAAGTTATCTATCCAAGGAAGCCAGCAGATTCCATCCAACCTTCACTTTGTCACAATATTTTAATCTGAGCAGCACAGAGGCAACGGTGAAAAAAAAAACAAAAAAAACCCACTCCCTTTCAACAGGAAGAAACCTCCATAAGAACCAAGCTCATGAGGGGCGGCCATCTGCCTCGACTGGCTGAGGTTAGAGAGGACAGGGAAGGGACACACAAACACTGAATGTCTGCTCCAGGTATAGTTTCTGTGAGAAGGACACAAAAACAAACACGAACACACAAATAATTAAATACAAACATGGAGAGGAGAGCAGAGCGAGTAAGACAGCAGCATGTCAGTTTATCCTCCAGCAGTCTAAGCCTTTAGCAGCACAGCTAAGGAATAGCTTAGGAAGCCCAAGCTGACCCTAACTATAGGATTTATCAAAAAGGGAAGTCTTAAGCCTAATCTTAAAAGTAGACGAGGTGTCAGCCTTGTAGACAGAAACTACAAGTTGATTCCACAAGAGAGGAGCCTGATAACTGAAAGCTCTGCCTCCCATTTTACATCTAGAAACTCTAGGAACCACACATAAACCTGACTGAAGTGCTCTGCTAGAATATGAGACAATAAGCTCTTTAATATAAGATGGAGATTGGTTGTTTAAAGTTTTGTATGTTAGAAGTAAGATTTTAAACTCTATTCTGAATTTCACAGGGTGACCATGGAAAGAAGTTAAAATGTGATAAATATGGTCTCTCTTTCTAACTCATCAGAACTCTGGCAGCTGAATTTTACATCAGCCGAAGACATTTTTAGAGAGTTTTTCATTCAGATATGTTATCAGCAGTGATGGGCGGTGAGGTCTGTGACAGGTGAGGCAGACTCGTCTGGAATCGGATGCTCACATATCTGAACCCAAAATAGAAGCTTATATTTCAATTTAGCCTTTTTGTTTTCTTTTAGAAAGGCATCTAATTATGCTTTAACCAACTCCACACTCCTCTCTTTTTAAATAAATAAAAAACATGCATTATTTTACCTTTATTTTAAGATGAATGAGTTTGGGAAAATGAAGATAAGTTTACAAAAATCCTTTAGTTTAGAT